GGACCATGCTCTAGACTCCGGTTATCATCTGCCGAAGTTCAAAGTCGGTGTGGGGATCGGAACACTGATGGCCCTGTTTGGCGCTTTTGCCTCTGTGAAACGATAGGATAAGCGGCAGAGGAATCTGACTGACCGTAAAGAGAAATGTAACCATTTTATGTCATTGTCTTTGCATGTCCATTATTCTGCACCCTTTTTTGGATATTTATGGCACTATCTGCTATTCTTCAATCAGAATTGTCTTTTCGTTGCTTTCTCCTGCTTATATCGACAGCTAAATGAGTAGTCTCCTATTTCGTTCCCACGAAATAGTAATTGTTTGTCTTAAGCAGATAAGAAGTGAGCGACCGAACCGGGTTTCGAAGCTAGTCTTTCGACCGCGAGTCTGATGTACTACCCTAATCCAATGAAGGCTACGATGTTTATTTAACGATTAATGTAACCGGTTCTTATGCTTTGAAGGCATGAAGACGTGTCGATCCTCAGTACCATTTAGTCGCTATTCGACTTTTCCAAATGTTACTATCAATCTTAACAGTTCAGGAAAATGCCCAGCCTTTCTGTTCAGTAGCATGCTATCCTTTACAGCCTTGTCTCAGCAATCTTGTGAGGTTTACAACTGTCATTTGGTAACCAAACAGCCATTTTTCGGGAATAAAATGCACTTATTCGTGAAATTGTTATAATACAGAACAATTTTCTACTTCGTGAAACCACGGACATACATACATGAGAATGATCCATAAGAGGAAACCCAGTTATGCTGAATGGTACTGCATTTAATAGAGTTTAAGTTCCATAGGTAAATAACTTTAACAGCTAGTTCTGTTAAATGCAAGGCATACATAGAATGTCATGAACGATAACTGAACAGTTTATGAGCCGAAGGGTGGAGACGGCCTGTTGATCGATTTTCCCAAACGGTCGTCATTAGGTATAACATTTTCATTAATGAAGTAAAAAATTTTATCAATAAGGTAGGTTATCTGTCATTCTAATTAGTTAATAAATTCACGTACTATCTTGAAGCGCAGCTGGTTAATTTCAAATACAGCTGGTGTAATTTTTTTCACTGTTAATCGAGAATTGCATAATGAATGGAAGCAGTTATTTAATGTTGCTTGTTTACCTTGAATCCGTTTTTGAATGTCAGCTGTATTTGCTGCAGCTTTTTAAACTTGTTATGACAAGAAATTTACCTCTTGTAGTGAAGGTTTTCTGTTCCGCGGATTTCTTCGTTTATAGTTGTCTGGTAGGTTATCTGGTACTGTGATCAGAGCTGCAACATGTAGACATTACCAATTTTTTGGTACCCGCAAATATGAACTAACATGGCTGTACTGTAGTTGATGCTTTTCGTCAGCCAATTTTTTTCGCACAAGTAACGAAAGTTTACACAACTGATTCAGTTACGAAAGCTAACAATTACTTTGTTCCGCTAGTGTATGCAAAGAGTGCTAGATGTAATGTAGCAATCAGTTCTTGATCCTTGCTTACTCTCTTACCAGAAGACTTCCAGTCCATACAAAGCAGAAATAAAGGGGGCAGGACGTTTTAGCACTTTCTGATTTACACCGAACTTTTTAACCTTCTCGAAATACAACGTATCAAAACTTGATTGCTGTCTGAGATAAGTGGGAATCCCATTTTAGACGTTTTTCGGTCGCTACACAGGTACTTAACCTGCGGTTATTTTAAATCAAAACATTTTAAAAAGTTTCATTCCATTCGTCCACGAAGTTCACGTAGTAATTGACATGCACTCAAAAACGAGAATTCTGCAAATCAATTTTATTCAGCAGTGACTAATCATCAAGATCAGTATACGAACGTAACGTATCCTAAAAAATGATGAAACTCAACTCGAATTTTTTTACCATCATGCTTCTAAGGCACAGAATTCTGTGAAACGCACTAAAATCATTTTACATTTCAAAGTTCTTTCACAACTTTTGGAGAATCTATTTTCATGCTCTTGGCGATCTCCACCTAAATACGAAAGAAATTACTAAGGGCAAGTAGACAGCTTAAACCGGTATTTACCAAATCCGTTATCTGGTTAGGATGATACGGAATACCTCCTAAATCTGCGCACAGTTTCATATGTGTGCGTTCGGGATCACCAGCCACCAAAACCGGAAACGACTTGTCCACCTGAAACCAAGCAGACAATACGCAATGCACAGAATAGAACAATCGTATATTTCATTTCACCGTCCAGAGTAGTGGCTATACCGAGATGAACCGAAAGTGATGTGCGCTTCAGTTCAAGCCGGCAATACCGCGGTTTTACTGTTCCATTATTAAGTCTACCTCTATACCTAAACCTCGACATTGCTACTTGCATGATTAAGTTTAGGATTTGGCTTTCATGTCCCTTGAGGCTTACTGAGTAATACGGCGAAAACCATATATTAGCACTGAACTAAAAGGAAAATTAGTTTCAATCCATACAGAACAGACTACTATCACTCTGGGCGGTGGGATATAATCTAACAGTCAAGAGCCTAGATACTGCGGAACAGTGTTTACTTAGATGGGCCCCTCTACACCCAAAAATAACTTTCTGCAATTCGATATCAGAAA